TAGAGAGAAGTCCTTTGAGGGAACAAAAATTCTATTATCATTTTTTTTGTAATGTTGCAACAAGTTAGCCTTTAAAAATTTGAAACTAGTTATTACTCTAACTTTAAATTGAATCAGTTAATGAAACAACATAAAAGTAAAATAATAGAAAAATAGTCAATGTTCTTACAAAACTGGCACCTCATTTATTTTGTTTGTCTTGTGAATTGCTTTTGGTCCAAACATTCAAAGTCCATGCCACTTAAGTCAATAGTTTGTTGAGTATGTTAACACATCATGGACAATCATGGTGGGGGGTTGAATTAATCCTTTTAGTAATCACTATGTGGTTAGTAATCTTCTTTATAGATAAAATCACATGAACTTTATAACAATACTTTCTACGTGATGTACTCTACTCTCAAAGGATATCATACCAAGGTTTAGCTAAATCTTAGTAGTTAAGTTGAATTCAGCATGCCTATAAAACTAATTTTAGTAACTTAGGTCAACTAAGACATTTCACCCTAAAACCTTCTTCTAGATTCACAACTCTAATTTAGATCAAATGAACAAGTATTAGTCTTTCTTAGATCCATATGTTTAGGTTTGTGTGAGTAGAACAAGTTGCAATGTGATATTACATCTTCAATGTTCTAGTCAAATTAAATGCAATGTGAATGACTTCAAGTTTTAACTCGAAACTCCCATGTGTTATTATCTTCACTTGAATTGTGTTTAACTCCTCTTGAGTGGAAGTAGACTTGATTGGTTAAATACAATCTGACTTGCACTTCTAAGCTCATGTGAACATTGTTGCACTCTCCTCACTTCTTTTTTCTTGTCCTTTCCCTTTCTTCTCTTGTTTTCAAGTACCTCTAATATTCTCAGAAGTCCACACTTTATATGCTACACTTTGGTCAATCCAACGGTCCTTTAGAATTGTCAGATATCAAGCTTTTTGATATTACATCTTCACCTTAATTTAAGCTTAATAAAATGTCAACTAATAATAGAAAATTAATAAATATTAAAATATTTCAATTTTGATGGATTATTTGATACACATCATGTTCATGTTTCAAATATATTTTCAAGAAGTACATGCATGACTTTATTTGCAACGTAAACTGGTCACTAATTTTTTTTTGATTATTTGAGGTTTACAAATATTATTATTTTACTATTGAGCTTTGATGAATGATTTGGAAGATGCTGAAGGATTCCTAAACCTATTTCATGTGGTATTTTGATAGTTATCAAAATTAATGTTTCAAATGTTTTGAGTTGTATGTGTTTAATACAAACCAAATTGATTTATTGTGTGCATGTATAACATTTAAAATTAATCTTAAGGAATCACACTTAAGTGCTATATATCTCTTTAACTCTAAATCCTTTATCCCAAGGATTGTGACCATACTTTGATATGCTATTATGAATCTAGTTTTGTAGAATGTCAAACTAATAGGAAAAATATTAGTGGATCATGTTTATTCTTAAGAGGATGCTTAGCATCTTAGTTTTATGAGAAATAAACTTGGTTTAGTTATATACTACAAAGGTAGAACATGTTTCACCACTTATTTATTGTACCTATGTTAAGGACAAAATTCCAACTCGACAATTATAAAATTAAAATAGACAAAGTTCATACTAAATGTGATAACATGACTGATGCTAAGCTAATCTCTTCACAAAGCATACCATTCAATCAATAACGTAGCACATGGAAATCAAATATAGTATTATTAGAGAACACAAATCAAAAAGATATTGTTATTAACTTTATTGAAGCTTCTAAACAATTGGTTGATGTCACCACTATGTCCATCTTCAAGGATAAATTCTTAACTATTACAAGGGAGCTTGGAACTTGTAATTTCAATGAGTTATACTTGTCACATCTGTTATCTTATTATTTTTTTATGATTAAATCATTTTTACTTTTTTTGAACCTTTAGATATTTATGCATTTCTTAGACTTTGAAGGTTTTTCCTTTTAGTGTAAGTACACACAACCAAATGAGTTAACCCTCATTAAACTGGGCTGGGAAAGACGAGTGGGCAAAAATATCATAGATGAATCAACAACTATTTGGTTCGATCTATGCTTTAATTTTTGATCAAAAATTTTATGGCTAGAAAATCAATGACTAAGTCTCCACTCAGAACCTTATCTTAATCTTCAAGTCTATGGAAACCAAAATCACCTGAAAATGTAATCATTTTGCTATAAATTCTCACCCCTACTATGTGCCCTAGCTTTTATACCGTCGAATCTACTTGAAATCTCTCGCCCCTGACCTGCAAATGATTTACACAGCATTAAAGAAGCTCAAGGAAGTAATTGCACATCACGAAACTTTGGATTAAATATTACACCGATTTCCCCTTTCTCTGACTTCTTACCACCACGAGAGATGGTAGAACACTGGCCTTTGATTCCTTCACTTACAAGGCATTCAACTACTTTGTCTAGAATTCTTGAGACTCAAAAAACCTCTCACGGCATTTCCTGGACCTGATTTGTGTCTCATTAGTTGAAATCATCAACCAGAGGTCACTGGAAAGTCCTCAGCTCCACCCCGGGCCACAGTAACGCATGATACTACTTACATTGATCAATCAACCTACATGTGCTTGCTTGTGATTCTAATATTGCTGGTCTTCACACCCCCACCCATTGAAAATCACCATTTTATCTTCTTCCTCACCCAAATGCTTGGCACAATGCTGCTCTCCATCCTACCAAACTCCACCTACCCAATCCTCTCTACCTCTGTTAGGGGACACTCGACCCCCACCACTCAACCTCTGATCCCACTATGTCACTGTCAAGGACTGTTGATCCACTTCACAGCCTGCTAGTCCCATCATTGTCAAGAACTGTTGATCCACCTCATGGCCCACTAGGGCCAATATGGTGAATCCTATCTTCAGGCCAAATAATAGTAATTTTAGGCTTAACATCACTTGATGAAGACCACTACCTTTAAGCCCAATAATAATGCATCATTGATGCTCAGTAGTTCAATCAAGAGGTCCAAAAAAACCTCCACATCCTTCTATTTCGTTTCCTAAATAACAGAAGCATGCTTCATTGATCTCTATTTGGATAGGAAGGTCGTCAAAAACAAAACAGTTAATCTTTCCCTTTTTGATTCCAAAGAATTCGTCTAATTTGTCAAGTGGGCAAAATTAGTCACAACATATCTTGGTCTATATCCATTCCTCACTTACCAATTTTTTTTCCAATGCTGAAATCTCATCCTCAAGACTTAGTGCCTATGTCAAGATACTAAAATTGGACTAACTAAAAACCTCATAAGCCAAATTCTTCATAAACTCTCTTTCAAGCATCACCAATCTTGACTGGACCACCATAACTGCTTCAAAACTTCCCAATCAATTTGGATTAATCGACCTTCTAATATCCCATCCTATAATACATGGAAGTTTGAGCCTTAAATTACTAATAGTGAAAATGATTCAATAATAGTGTAGGTGTGAAGATAAAGCTGAACTTATTTTCATCAGTATTGGAGTAGATGGAAATGAATTATTTTGCATCATGCCCTCCGTCATCAAACAAATAATTACTATAGGTGCACTCCTAATTACTTTTTTTCAATAGCAATAACATGTTATCCAAAAACAAAAGTCATTGAAAGTAATTGATGGCCATTTAAAAATAAAATATTAACAATTGAACTTCATGATATGAAGAAATTGGCTTAAGGACACACCAAAAATATCGTATTAATAGTAAGATCTTAATCTAGATTATTCACTGTTTTGCCAGATTCTTGCCATCAATAATAAGATCTTGAAGTAATTTCTCATTAGTAGAAAAATATATACACAGGTGAAAAATATTTTATTAATTTTTCATGTTATTCAGTCTGATTTTGTATGAAAGTGTATTTCACTCTGATAAAATAAATCATGTTTCTGCATTATCAAGAGATGTTATTGCTGGGAATGCTAGTCCCAAAATAAGAATTATGAGGATAGAAACTCTTGTTCGTCAACAAAATTGCAAGCATAGACATTCTTTGTTTCTTCCTTGACATAATGCTATATCATAGAAGCATAGAGGAGATTTGTAAGCACCCATATTCATCAATTGCGCTGACTATAATGCTCACCATATTCTGAGCAGTATATGCTCAGCTGTTTTGGATATTGAAATAGCTGTACTCAGAATATGGCACGTAATTTTACTTTTAGCTAATTTTGACGCGGAATCTACTAAATGCTCACTTTCCACATATAATTTCTGCTGATGACAAAGGTAACATTTTATCTACTGCTTCATTGTCTTAGAATATTAGGCAATAGACTCGGCATGACTGCAGATTGAAATAGCTTGTTATCTACAATAGCATAGCTATTCTGACATAATAGAGGGTGGTAGGACCAGGCCAACATCAATTGAGTATTATGGTTGACTAAAATAACGTCACTTCTGGAATCATATCAGCCATATTTTTAATTAATGATGTCGAGAGCAACATACTGCTGGGATAAAATAAAACAGTAAAATCGTAAATATCAACCAAGCCTTTTTTATAGTGCAAGTTAAATGAGAATACGGAAAATTTCAAGTTACCTTTTAAATTCACAAAAAAACATTTTATCTTGACATCTTCTGAACCAAATCGCTAAACAAGAAAGAGATAAATCCCTTTCAATTGAAAGTATTGTATCTTTATGTCTCTGCTCTCTCTGCTCTCTCTGCTCTCTCTCCTCTCTCTCTCATAAGATCTGTAGATCTCTCTTTGGTCGTTTTTCGCTCGCTCTTTATCTCCCCTCCCCATCCTCGCAAGTCCCTGCAGGCTTTCATTTAATCGTATGTAGGGCGTGGGCACCATAATTCTGAGCTTGAGCGTTTTCGCCGTCTTATTATTTAGTAAGATACGCTTGGTGTCATACCCGTGCCAGCTGGGGAGATTTGCTCATAAGGTAGGAAACAAAAGCTGTAGTCAAAACACGAGCGAAGCTCAAACCGACGCTCTTCAGGGGAGCCCAGCCAGCTTCTTACTGAGAAGCCACCTGGTGAAGACGTCAAGCGTATTCATGTCCGCGCGGTAGTGATTCTGGGTAAACTCGACCAAATCAGACCAGGTAAAGTCTGGGTATAGCCTGGGATGCCCCTTGTCGATGAGTTCCGGCGGAGGGCGCACCAGCTTTCCCATTGAAGGCGAGAGGAAGAAGGCCAGCGAAGTCCTAGCTTTGGTGCTGTTTACCACCGCCCTGTGGAGGCAGCTCTTGTACCTCCCGTTGGATAATGCCTGGCGACGTGACCGAGAAACAATAACGTTCCCCAGGTGGAGGGGAGAGTAGAAGAAGACCAGAACCGAGTGGAGAGTTGCTTAGAGGTTGTGTTACCGTGAAGGTCTCGCCGATGTTGACGACGAGGGCGGTGGGGTTGGGGCGGACCGATCGCCAGCAGCCATCGGAGAAGACCTGAAGACCATCAACGTCGTCCTGTTGGAGGATGGTAAGAGAAGTAGGGTCGAAGTGCGGACCGGTTCCCAGGGTGAGATGGGAACTCTGGCATCGAGGGTAGTAGTTTAGTCGCAAGATGGAGTCATGGTCCTCGAAGAATGCCCTGAAGGTTCTCCTCTCCAGGCCCAGGCTCACGGCCAGCAACTCCATCGTCCCCAAAGCCACTCCCGCCATCGCCTCGCCGTACGCTTGGTACGTCTCCCTGCATGCAGCGGAGTCATCCGTGAGAGAAAACTTTCAAAGGAAGGGTGAAAATGGTATTCTTCATTTGGTTATTTACCCAAGGTTTTTGAAACCGGGGCCTAATGTCTTCAGGAAATAGTCGAGGACGACGCCGTCGCCGGACGATGAAGAGGGTGCATGACGAAAGGACATGCTCTCCTTCCAGGGGAGCCTGGATGAGAAGCGGCCGGAGAAGCTGCTGGCGTAGCCGTAGCTCTCCCCGTTCTTCCTCTGTGCACGCTGCTTTTCCTTGAGAGGCATCTCGAAGAATGGCACCATGAGGCGGCGGGCCTCTTCCAGGAGTTCCGCTTCCACACCGTGGTTGATCACCTGGAAGAAACCGTGCTTCTCGCACGCCTTCTTGACCAGCCTCGTCGTTTCGAGGATGAGAACCGATCGGCCACAACCTCCATCACTTTCCTCCAGGAAGGCTCCAAGGTCGATGAGAGGGAGCACGAGTTCTCTTGTGGCGTCTGGTTCGGGCCGCTCGTCCTCGGGCCAGATGTACTCGTCCGGGATGGCGACCTGGTGCTGCATTACGGTGGCATCGAACACCGGGAGAGAAAGAGGCTGCTCCTCGCCACCGCCAGAAAGTATCATTGCCGGCGCCTCCTCGGTGGAAGCGTTGCAGGGAACCTGCAGCTCCATGGAATTTTTTCCGAGGGAGGAAGATTGGTGAATTTAGAGCTGGGTCGGACGGATTCTGGAGGCGGAGGTGATGCCGGAGACATTCGGTCTTTTCCGCAGGTGAAGTAGAGGAGGGGCGGACGATGAGGATGAGGGCAGGCAGAAGGCAGTCAACAAATGGCTAAAGCTGCGGAGGCAAGCATTAAACGGAAGAGAACACGCGGAGCTGGAAAACGCTCCAAGCGCTCGCTCGACCCAGCGTGAGAGGCGATTGTAAGGCCAGCGCGGGACCCGTAGGCTCTCGAACAGGCAAATGCTACGCGGCGGAGGACGACTGGCTAGCACTAACGGCATTTGATTTGCAGAGAGAAAAAGTAAGATTTACGTCGGCGCAGGATCCCATTCCAGCTGTGTCACTCACACGTTTATCCAAAAGCACTAGGATTCTGTTCTCGAGTCAATCTTTACAATTAATTCAATCAGAATAGTCATTTGTATTTCATGTTTCATGATTTCAGAAAACTTATAGCATCTCTCTTTATTTATTAGTCCAAAAATATCATCAACATATATCTGAAATATGAATATTTGAGTTTTCTTATTATAGTGAATAGTGATGTGTCAATACTCCCGTAGATGAAAAGAATGAATGAACGACTTTCATACTAGATACTAGGTGCTTGGTTAAGTTCATAAAAGACTTCGGTTAATTTAAATGAATTAGGTATTCTGAAATTTTAAAACTAGGGGCTTCATGATCATATACTTCTTGTATATTCTCCCCATTTAGCACATGCTCTCATATCCATTTGAGAAGAGTTTGATGTTCCTAATGTAAGCATGTGCTATAACTATTCTAACTGCATCTAATATTAGCCATTGGCGCATGTGTTTGATCCTAATTTATTCATTGTTTTGCATGTACACTTGAGCTGCTAGTTTTGCCTTATTCCTAGTAGCCTTTCTACGGCCACTCAACTCTTTTTTGAACACTTATTTAGTTCCAATTATGCAATGACATGATGATCTTGGTGTAAGGGTTCAAACTTTGTTCTTTTCAAATTGATCCAGTTTCTCTTGCATGACTAAAATCTATTTTTAACCCTCTAATGCATTCTACACAGTCATAACTTAAATTTAAAATCTCAAAGTAGATCAAGTGTTGTCGTTTCTAGTCTATGTTTGAATTTCACTCTTTGGACATGTTCTATGATATAATCGTTTGGTAGATGTTTTCTAAAAAAATCACTCTTTTGGCTGATCATTGTGCTTAGTGGATTGAATAATTTGAGGAAGTTGTACACCCTTAGAGTATATTCTTCATCTATTTATAGATATTTCCCAAAATTCTGCCTCAGAATACCTTCTTCATCTATATGAGTATTTCTTAGTTCATTTTCAATGCACTAGATGTCAATCAATTCCTTAACAACTATGGTTCTTTTGTAACAAAGTCAATAATCCTTAGAGTAACCTGGATATTCTAGAAATATACCTTCATAGTCCATTGGAATATATTTGTCAATTCTTCCTTTACATTTGTATGGGTAAAGTATTAGCCTCTAAAAGGCATAAGATTGTCTTATATGATATTTCAATATCTTGTCTTTGAACAGCTCATATGGTATTCTTTTGAGGAAAGGGATAATGACAACTATGTTATTTTGAGGCAGGGTATATTTATTGCTTCTACCAAAAATATTTAGGTAAATTATTTTCACTCAGTATTATCCTAGGGATGTCCAATGAAGCTTTGTCCTCCTTTTGGGTACCATGTTGTTGTGAAGTTTTTGCACAAGAGAATCAATAAAAGATTTCATTCTTATCAGGGAATTAAGAATGTGTTAAGCTCTCAAGTTCTCCTATATAAACCCTTCTAATTCTATTGGTCTTCAATTATTTTTTATTTTCAACTTCCTTATACAATTTTTCATATATCTTAAGCATTTCATTTTTGTGACTCTGAAAATATAGCCAAGTGTATCTCAAATACTCATGAATAATTACAAGCACATAAGTTGTATCACCTAAACTAGGAACCTTTAAGGGTTTAAATAAATCTATATGCATAATCTCTAGTGTTTTTTTCGTTGTGATATTATTTATCGTGTTTAATTTCATCTTATAATTCAATACTAGGGATTCCTTTTAACTATTACCTTTTTCCAGTTTCTTAATTGTGTATGTCCATATGTCCCAGATGTCTATGCCATGCCATAAATATTTAAATCAATCATTAAAATCTAAATATATATTTGAAGCTAACACTTAAGAGAGTTGAATGACATATATTTCATTGTTTAAATGCAATGAAGTAATGATGGTTATTGTGGATTTCCGAAAATAAATAACATTTAATTTTAAATTCAACTTTCAATCCTTTATCACATAATTGATTGATTATAAATAAGTTGTGTGAAAATTCCTTTACTAGCATAGCAATATCAATTAAGGTATGTGATATTAAAAAGTATTTATGCAGTCGGTATTTGTTTTAATTATCCTTAAGTGAGACTTCTACTCCTTTTTTCTGAGAGAATGGGGTAAGATATGTTCTTTCCTTTGATGTGCTTTTAACATAAAATGTCTAGGTACCATGTGCTTTTATTTTGCATATTGGAGATCTCCTTAAGAAGACCTAAGTCGCTATGGGTTGGATATGTCAAAATTATTCAACCCCATACTTGTATTGCCATTTTTCTGTGATGTGGATGGCTAGTTCTGCTTCATAGTAGGTTTGTCCTTCATGTTGTCCAATCATTCAATTTTATAATTGAGTTCTCCTTTTTGAGCTCCCTAGTGTCATAATATCTTAATCCTTTCCTATGACTATATCAGTAAAGCTGATGAAGTAGGTCTATGACTTCATATTAGGACTTATAAGATTTTTGATTTTTTAATGTAGCTTTGATTTCTTCCATAGATTTTTCCCATAAATTCTCCTAGATTTTTTGATTTCTTACAGTCTTCCATAGTTTGTTAGACAAGATTATACATAGGGCTAAGAATATGATAACTCTATAAAGATATATCAAAGCACACGATTTTTATTTGTGTAGAAATTTCTACGTAATGAAAATTCTGTAAGAACTCATGGTGCTAAATAATGTGATGACATTGTAGTCTTCCCAATAATGCACTTACTTGCTTAAGTATGAGATTACTATTCAATAGACTACAATTCAACTACCTCATTTGTAGGGGATGTTGAAGAGCATGATCATCTAAATCTAGGAAAACCTAATTTCATAATTCACCATATCTGATCTAGATACTAATGCTCATTAATCATCATAGGTAGATGCCAATGCTCATTATTCTTAACACCTATTTTGAATGTCTTGATTGAAGTATTGAAAAGTGTTTTAAGATGACATCCTACAACATGGTACTTGTGGAGGTGAATGAAAATGTTTCAGCTTTCAATTATTGAATATATTTAGGAACTTCTACCCAGAATTTTGTCAAAGAAAGTTTTTGAATAAACAAAAGGAAGGTAAAAGGAAAATAATAGTCCATCTGTCATGAAATTTTATTGATTTAAATATAGAAAAAAGAAAGTTTTCATTCTAACCTTGTTGTTTTTCATATGCTACTTCTTTTTCTAAAGTTTTAACACCTTGCCAGTCTTTGCTCATTGGACATGATTGGAATAATACCAGCAATTGATAAGAACAATATGGACACTTGAGTAGCAAACTCCCACAACACATTAGAAAGTATGGATATTATTGTTAACTTTTAATAAACTTAAAAGATATACTAGAAAATGATTATATTGTTCTAACACTATAACCACACACTAGAAGGATTATTTCACAATTTTAATGGGGAGTCATTGATTACTTCTAGTTTAAGCTGCACAAACATTCTCTCACTAGACGAGGTGTGAATTTAATGAGCAACTAGCCTATGATCTTGGGCTTTTCTTTTATATTAACAGAAATAAGGAAGAGTAGTTTTTATGACGCATGTGTAGATTTCTCCTCGCTCATATGACGTCAATATATGCAGTTGATCCAGGTCTACTGAGGCGTGGTCCAATAGCAGAACCCGACCATATAAGGATGGAAACTCCTCCAACGACGTCATGCCTACGGAAGGGTTTACATCGGTGAGTTTGGGTTGCGTCCTTTCCGCAGGCTTTGGAGCTGTCCCTCTGGCGAGCCCTGATGTCCGACGGGGCAGACCCACCACAGCAGGAGTCCACCTCTGCCCCCAGGCAAATGCTTCCTTCTGCCCGTCTTGTCTCGTCTTGCCTAGGGTTGATGGTGATCTGTGTTCCGCAGGCCCGGCAGCAGGTACCAGGACCAGGATGACGGACGACAGCGGTTCCTGCTCGAGCTGGAGTTTGTGCAGTGTTTAGCGAACCCCACGTACATCCACTGTGAGTGCATGTAGGGCTTATAGAATTTTTTGGGAATTAATTAACGAAACTATGCGTACGCTTTTAACCAGGTCTATGTGTGGAATTCGATTCTCTGTCGTATGAAATTCGAGAACATCATTGGGACATAATGTAAAAATTTAGTGTCCAAATTCGGCGCTATTTGGAGTTGAAATGCGGTTCGGCGCTATGCAACATCTCATATGATAAATGCAAAACTTTTAGGAATCAACGATTTTTAGCTATCGTGACTCCCTACCCCTAAAATTTAGATGTATTTTTTTAATTATTTATTTTAAGTGTGTGTATTGTGGTTTTGGGGTTCGTAAAAGGATGACATTTTGAAAACCCACCCAGCATATGCATGAGCATTCATCACCCAATAGTGCATTTTTACATATTTTCAAAACTAAGCTCAATGACCAAACATTGTTGAAATGAATTTGTTGAGTAGACATTGACCTTTAGAACCTCATTAATTATCGGACTGATGTTTGGCTAGAATCTACATTACATCCTAGTTTTCCCGGCCTTGGTGGAATAACCCCTTGTAACTCATTCCCAAATTCACAATACCTTACACAGGTGCTCAAATATTTTGAATGGAAAGCCAACCTCTGACTCCAGAATGTTACTAGAACTCTCTGGATTCCCATTGATTCTCACGTAGAAAGTGGTGCATCCCAGGTTCCTTCTCATACTTCAACTTAGTTTCATACGTGGATGAATAGTGGTCTAGGTTTTGAGCCATTTTCCCGAGGCAAAATGAAGCTGATAGGCCTGGGGACACATGAAACATAGGGTTTGATCCACATAAATTCCATTCCATTCTCCTTCTTCGTTTCTATGGGAAGAAAATTCGTATATGTTGTGCCTTCATGTTGGAATGGAACAGGCGAAGCTTAGATCTTTTTTCTGAATCTTGCATAAGAAAAGAAACTGTACGTGAACTCTATCCTATTATGAATTTATTTTTATAATCGGATATTTTAATTTTTAAAATCATTCATTTATCGTTTTGTTTTCATTTTGTGCTTTATGATTCATTTTCTTATTTTTCACGCCAGAAGTTTCTTAGTTTTGGTTTTCTTCATACTAATTAGAGAGGCCCATATGTAATTCAAGCCCAGCAACAGTGCATAGTCAACAAACTCTTATTTATTGCGCTTTCATAATTTATTAACGGATGAACACATTGATATATCATTTCCAAGATTGGATTTCGTAAGAGAAATTAAAATCTATAGGTTTTGTATTCCTTCCTAGTTTATTTTCTGAAAACATTCAGCTATATGATTGAGTTGTAACGTTTGGAATATTTTTAATTAGTCATATACTTTGTTCTCGATCTTTTCTCTGTTTTTTGCATTGATAAATGAGCTGACTAAATTGGCAACCTTTAGCTCTACTTTTCTTTGGGAACATGGAAGAAGAAAAAACATCTGGGAATATGGATAATTGCCTTATGTTATTTTCTCAGTTTCAGCTTTATGATTGAATAGACCATGTTGGATAAACCTTAATTGCTCATATGTATGATTTTCACTTATTTTTGCTGAATTACTTGCCACACTCTCAGTAGTGCAATGTCATCAACATATAGAAATTCCATATGCAGATACTGGTGGTCTTCACTTTTCACTTGCTACAGGCTAGTTTTTGTGAACAGGTTGGTATGATAAGCTATATATGAGATCAACTACCGCTTGCAAATTTAGGAGTAACCTGTTTGGTAGCCACCCTTTCAACGAAGCTTTCAGAGAGTACCGACTTTGTTAAAAGATCAGGCTTGTGGGAACTCTACTATAGGGATCTAAATTAATAGTTAAGGTGGCATCTATGAAAACTTTGAATGAGTACAAGTAAGAGGCTTAAGTTTTCTCTGTTCTTCCAGTGTCTTGTGTTCTCTTTTCATCGTTTTCTTCTTCCATTCTTTTAAAATGTTATCCTTAGAGATTTGTCTCAATCATGAGGATAGCTCACAAAATTATTTTAACATTTACAATTCAGCTTTAAAGTTAATGTTTTTTTTAGTTCTATCCCAGATTTGCAATCTGTTTTTATATATCTCAGCTTTCTGAAGTTTCAGTTATCACAATTAATAGTAGTTAATGCGTCAAAGTTACAATGAATGTTCACTAAGCCAAATTCGTCAATAGGGAGATGGATGATAGTATGGCCTATGGTTATGATTTAAAGGTCCTGAATATTTTCCATACTTCTGTGGAACTGTGGTATATACCTTAATGGTTCTAAGCGCTGTGCAGAGGCAACCACGCAATGATGGTGGGCTTTGTCTTGTGCAGTTCGTTTAGATTTTCCAGGTGAGTTTAGTTTGGAAATGGGCAGAGGAGAAAGTGTATGTGCTGCTGTAAAGTTTTTCTTCATTTTCTGCTAAGAAGTTTTCAGGCTAACTGGTGGAGGATTTCTGTGGTGAAGATAATTGGATGTCTGGAAGTAATATTTTGTGTTGCAGAACGTTATGGTTGAATGTTGTCTGTGAGGATGGGCTTGCAACCATCTATAACTAGTCCGGAATTTGGGGTTATCTTTCTAGTTGGTATACTATTGAAGCAAGGATTGGGAGGTGATCTATCTTTTAAGAAAGGGCTCTTTTGTATGTAATATCTGAAAGAAATGTCCCTTGGGTTACTGAGACTAAGGGCCGTGGATGATCTGTGATGCTTTCAATGTGGTAGGTGACCACTTGATTACTTGTGGGCTGATCAGAACAATCTTGAAAAACTAATAAAGTGGGAGCAATGTCCTCACTCTGCGTCTTTATGCCAAATTGAGAATAAATACGGTCATGAAAGACTTACTATCAATGATTTCAAGTGAGCTAGGAAGAAGGGATGAAGGACTAATTTCGCCAAAAAACTTCTGACTCATGAATTTCTTGTATAATAACAAGCAACGGCTTCATGTTACTGGTTAAGTTTGCTTGGTTTGTCACTTGTTACGTTTTTAATATCTGCATTGTTATAATTTCGACACATTTGTGGTATGAGAGTACAGAACAGAGTAAAAATGAAAATTTTCTTATTGAGACTGGATTGCAAGAGCCAGTTTTTTATCCACGCCTACAACCTGGAGAGTAGTTAGAAAAGTGATATTTGTGTTTACCAACAATACCATTCTCGAATGGGTAAGAGATACAGTAAATGCGAAAGGAATGATTATTGATGAGATTTGAAATAGAAAGCTGCGGATAAGAAGAATTATAGTTTTAGAAAATTACATTCTGATGCTCCTTTAATTGCACAGAAGTGGCGTTTATTCTAAGACCACAGTGGGGCAGTAATTGGTTGTAGTTTTAGGAACATTACCTGAAATAGTTAAAGGGCTACCTTCTGATTTAAAAAGGCATGCTCGGTAGATGACAACTGAACACGACCTTTGAGGTTGTGGAATTTGATCACTTGCTCCAATTTCATATCCTGATGGATTCCGTTTGAACTGATTTTCGACCAATATCATAATAATTACTTTCTTGGTGAATTCTTCATTTCATTTTTGTCTCAGTAAACTTTTTCTTTCATTTGTTTCTCACTTGACGAAATCCTTTTTTTCATTTTATTTCTGGCTCAATCAAGTGTTTGTTGTTTCCGTCTTCAGACATCCAGGAGAAAAAACTTTTCTAAGCTGAGCTCTTTCCTTTTTGCCAACGCTCTTCAGATTTAGCCCAGAATCGTTACTTTGAAGATGAAGCGTTCATTGGATATTTGAAGTATCTTCAATATTGGCAAAAGCCAGAGTACATTAAATTTATAATGTGGGTGACCTTTGAAATCTGCTTTTCTATATATTGGCCACTATTCCCAACATTATCATGTAATTTTGAAATTTCCTTTTCTATGCTACAGGTATCCGCATTGCCTATTCTTTCTTGAACTCCTCCAAGACGCAAATTTCCGAAATGCAATGGCTCATCCAGCCAGCAAGGTGTGAGGAACTTGGTCTTCGTACGATTTAGCTTTGTTTTATTAGTCTTTATGAGTGCAATATATGCCTTGCTTTACTAGAATTAACATGTCTGAGAAGTAGCGAACTTTGCTTCTCGGAATGTTTTTAACTTATTATTGGCTACAGTGTGCTCATTTTTTCTGTAATTTCAGGCTTTACTCTAGGACTAATTTGAATGTCCAACCTGCCTTCAGTTTGTCTCTTTGAACTTGTGGAAGTCTGTCACTTTCTGTTACTTAGGCCATCACCTTGTTGGCAGTCTAGGCCACCAAGATGACTCTATGGCTGAGCCACTCAAAAGGTGTCTGGGCCAGCAGTGCAAGAAGTCTAGTTGCAGTGCATTCAGAATACTGATTGATGTGAATGCCTATCCACATCATTGATTCAACTGGACACAAGCAGACAGCGATTTGCTTCTGCTTCTGGGTCAGATAGAATACAAATGGTAGGAACCCACACATAAATGGGTACCTCTATGAATCATTTGGCCTAGACAAAAACGGTTGCTTGATGATGTCTTTTGCCAAGCACTAAAGACATTTATCTGTGAGACTTTTCTTTCCCAGACAACAGTTCTTTGAGGACATAATATTTCAAGACTGTGCAGAGAGGTAGGAGGTCAATGGGATCTCAATGGCTGGGTTAAGCTCTGTTGAAACTAAAGGATAAAATTGTCGACAAGGAGCTGATCAAGTGGTCAGGATGTGCTAATGGAAGAGTGTCGCAATCGCCAAAGAAAAGAGTGTGTTTCTTTGTCTCTAAACAAGACCTACGTGCCTGAAAAGTGCAAATGTCCTGCACTTAGAGTCTGAGGAGTTCAATGCTCTTTATGACAATGGCTGATTCCGAGGTATAGCTGGGATTGTAGATGGCTAGTCAATTTCTGTATACATCTTAGGCCTTCAAAAGCCTGACATCTTAGACCTTCTGTGAAAGAGTTCATTCTTGTTGAAAAATTTCCAAGTTGCAGTCACTTTGAATGATTCTTATAAATGTACTTCATTCTACTATTCTGCTTTACCCTTAATGCCTCAAGTTCCATTACTCCTAGTTCATATAGAGTGAGCTGGAAAAAGATCAATACTATTTAGTTTTATTTCTTACTAAAAAAAATGTTGTTTCTTAGATATGATGTTACAATTAGTGGTAGAATGATATGTTAAAGTAAGCAAGGGTTCTATCTAGTTCATCCCTTTTCATCATTCATAGAAGTGGTAATAATTTCAATCATATCCTCCAGGAAAGCATACGTCAACTGAACTATCGTTAAGTAGAACACCACAGCCATGCTTTATTTACAAAAAAATTGCTATACTGTTTAGTAACAGTAAATGGTGTTTTAAGCTCTTTCTCTTGTTAGGGCATCCTTATCATTCATTTATGCATCATGCTTGTGTCTCTCTGAAATATGCATGCTCCTTGATTTTTGAGATATCCTTGGGATGTTATTGATGACAACTGATGCTGGTCGCAATTCCTCTCTTTCCATGCAGGAATTAGCTCACAGGCAGCAATTCTTCTTCTGGAAAAATTATAGGAACAACCGTTTGAAACATATATTGCCACGCCCACTTCCTGAACCTCCTGGTGCAGTTGCTGCTGTACCTTCTCCAGTGTCAGCGCCAGCATTGTCAGCAGCTACAGCGGCTACTGTTACCACCCAAGCAGCTTCTCCAATGCAGTTTGTTGGAGCTCCTGGAGCCTCACTTCCGAAAATTGATATGAGAAATAGTGGTGTAGACCGTCGGAAGAGAAAGTATGTCCCTTTGGTCGATTTTTATGCACTTCAGAATTTTTTTTTTATAAACACTACCCAGTTCCATATCCTAAACCCTAAACCCTCAAGGCGTTTTTCTTACTTCATCTTTTATCGTGACTATATTCATATCAGAGGGGTAATTGTTAGTTCGATGGATTAAAGTACTTAATCGCACTACCCAGTTCCATATCTTGAAGCCAGTTCCATCATTACGACTGATAACTTGTGAAACACTTCAGTTACAGTTGCAATGCCTTGATATTATTCATGCTACATTGAAATTTAGTAGCTTGTAGAGTAGTCATGTGCTATGAGTGTGGACTAAAGGATGGGAATAAAATTCCCTTTAGAAAGTTTAGAAAGTTGTTTACTTTTCTGAATTTTCTTTTCTACGGTTATTCCTCCTGCTTTTCTCTGAATAGTCGATCGTTGCCCCCTCTTCTGTACAGGGCCTGATTCTACAGCTCTGAGGATGTTAATTTCGGTTGTGCGCAAAGAAGGCTGTGTATTTCACAAGCCACGGCCAAAAGGATCCTATGAATCAAGAATGGTCATTGCTCTGGAAGCCTCCTAGTTGATTTTCCACAAGAACTATGCACATCAACGCTATTTAGGATAGTATTTTAAGTGGTTGGTGCGGCTCGTTTTGCTGATATATTTCCATGCTTTTGGCTGAGACACAATTAGATTGCTATGGGCTAGAGATAAGCTGTCTGTCGATCAGATTCTTGGTTGACGCTTTGAATTTGGTAATATCCTCACATAAACGAAAGCTTACCCACTCAACGACATCCTAGTGACTGACCTCCATTGCGTGTAGGATTTCATTGAAAAGTTTTCTAGGTCTCAGAGGAGGTAATTATGAATATTATTGTTCGGCCTTGATGCCGGGAAATCTTTAAACCATGAAAAAAAATAAAGCTTCAAAACATATCCTCTGTGTTCACTCCTTGCCTAGCAGGGGCCCTGACTACTACTGACTCTTGTACTGACATTTATCTTAGAAAATGACAGATATTTCTAAAATAGTTCATAATTTTACCAGTCTCTTTTAAACTCTTTGAAATTCCAAAAAAATTATACCTATTTTAGGAATAACCGTATTAAAAACATCGATTATAATGTGTTGCTCATTATTAACATCTACACTTTCTTCTAAAATAATCTCAAAATTGCAATACTAAATATATTTTTACTGCTGATGAATACTCTGAGGATTTAGAGGTGTTTCACTATCATAATAATTAATTTAACATATTGAATAACCATATAAAATGGAAACTGACCGAAAACACGTTGATTGCAGCATTTTGTGCATGTACATGAATTATTTCCGTCACTCAAAGGTATATACTTCATCCATGAACTATCAAGAAACAAACTAACTTGCTATTTCGTAAACACAGGTAATTCTGTGGTGCAGTACTCGGCTAGGATTTCTCCATTTTCTCTATAAATAAGAGGTATCCATATATGCATGGGGTAAGTCAAAAATTAACTAAAAATGAGCACACCGTTAATTGTGATGAAAACACAATGCAGGGTGGTATTGCAACCTAGGAAATCTTAGATTTGAAGATAAGAATGGTAGCACAAGATGACTAAAGAAAGCGTATTACCCCATGATTTCATTCCACACCAAGTATGGTACGAAATTTCTTAACATACATCTAATTTTTTGAAACCAACAAAGACTCTACTACAATTTTAAAGTGTATGAACTTCTATCAAAGATCCCAAGTCTTTAAATGAAAGGCATTGTCACATCTTTCATAACATAATCGTTAAGGGCAACAGACGAACATAACTTGTTTTATCATACATATCTTAATTCAATACCTACATAAATTTAGATTTGATTGTATTTTAGCTTTGATTACTTGATCATTTAAAGCCATCAACAAATACCAACAAGGGGAGGTGAATTTTCCCGTTTTCTAAAGTCGCAAGTGAAAAGAAAATTTTAATTAAGACCTATTCTTAGGCCTGCTAATGTTGCAAACATTTGCATGGGTAATTAAAGTAGAAATTATGGTCAAGGCAATGAAATAAATAACAGAAAAAGACTTTAGTTGGACGAGAATCTAAGAACAAGCAAAGAGTCCTGCTAGAACTCTCACAAGAGAATTGGAGAGCGCTGAAATCTTGCTAGAGAGAGAGAGAGAGAGAGAAAGAGTTACGAGATTTTCCAGCGTGATAAGTCATGGAAATGTTAATCATCTTACAAGTGAGGGTGCTTTAAGAAGAAAAAATAGATAGTTCTTAGTACAGAACATTATCTTTATGATGGATTGCTTATCGCCCGTTTTAATTGCAAGTTTGGTCACCTTCACCTGATTTAACACTTGCATCCAACAAGGTGAAATTCTCTTTCATATTCATGAGTTTAGTGGGCCAAACATATAGGGAACTCAGTACACTTTTTTGGATTCACAGATGTAGGAGGCCAATGCGATTAGCAAAAGATAATGATCGCTAGCTTCATACACTATATCACCCTGAGTATTAACCGTACACTAGATAGTTACCATTATTTTCATTTAAGCTCTAAGTGTTTTAGAGGCTTGATTCCTTTCACTATTTCTTTTATAACCCTCTGATCTAGGATATGACTTTTGCCCTTAATCTTGATTTTTTGTTTGTTCCTCATTGGCATGGTGAGGAGAGTGTTTCTTCTATATCAACTGATTTTTCTTCATTTTTCGTGATATTTAAACAGCTGTTTAGCCATCAAAACTTCGTCTTTTCATGCAAGCAGCACTACCTAGTGGTGAATTAATTTTTAGAATTTTTTTCCTGTGCCTATAGCAGCCTTCTCTCTCTGTTGATACCCTAATGAGGGCATACAAAACTCGTCCTTCCGTGGAAGCAGAATGCACCGATGGTTAATTTCATGTTTATAGTTTGAAAATTTTTTTTGAAAATTTATGAAACTATGTTCTAAGTTTTTGATTTCAGGATATTTGAAACAAAGTTTCATGATTAAATTCAGAATCAAACTATTGAAAGATGGGAGAGCTATATTTATTTTCTGATAGTCAGAACATCTGAAGTTCCGGACAAAGATATTGTTTAAGAGACGGAGAGAAAAACTTCTGAGTTGATAAACTAATCAATCGATAGGTTTAATCCTGGAGCTCAAATCTGTTTCATATTTTGTGTGGACTGAAGTAAGTTCAGAAATTTTCAAACCGGTTATCAGTCCACTAAATATATTTCTGATGTCAATCTCTTTGTACCATTTTCCAGTCAAATGATAATTTCTCGTATCAAAGTGTTTGATTTCAATGAATTTATCAAACCTTTCAATTTCAAAGGTAGACCGATCTTCTCAGAGTGTATAACTAGTTTTCAGGCATCAGTTGGTTTTAGTTTTTCAGTGAACAAAAGGAATTCAGTAATCTGTAACTCAATTTGGACTGAACCTATGGTCGCATTTTCAGTGTCATCTTTTTGAATTTTCAGATCATAATCCTCACCTGAAAGATGATATTGTTTTGACCTTACTTTTTATAAATGGAATACGTCTTAATTAACCAAGAGTTTCCCTTCTGTGTTTGACACTTTTTTGTGCAAATCCTCACCTGGAATTCGATGGTTTATTCCTCTTGAATGTTTATTTCTCCCACTAAATATACAAGTAGTTTATCATGTGATTTAAATGGCTATGTTCCTACTATTTAGCCAGCATATCAGAGTTAAGGATCGTTTAGGACATTCGATCATAGAAAAACCAGAAACTACTTTTTGAAAGAGAACTGTGTCTCAAGCTGTGATACAGCTGAAGATATTCGGGACAGGTTCTCTATCGTTTATGAAGGATAAGCGTTCTGAAATGCCATAAATTCAAAACATTTAGTAATTCCATAACTTTAGAGATATTCAGCATTCGGCAACATTCATACTTCAGAATATATTTTAAGAAATCGTTGACAAAATAGAGCACATTATTTTTCAATTCCCTCGTTTTTAATACTTCCCTTTTTATAGTTCTCCGTTTATGTTCACCATCTTCCTCACTTTAATCTCTACTAATTGTTTCTTTGTTTTCAACGTTTTCTTCCTCACTTTAATATTCTTCTTCCATTTTCTCTCCCTTTTGTTAACATAAGCAAGGGTGGATGAAGTAAAAGATGCTCTGGATTTACTGTCACCTTGGTCCTTAGTCTTCGTGATGCATTTCTCCAATGTTTTCCTTCTTCCGTTCTTTCTCAAGCATCAGCTCCAAGGCCACAACTATCATGAGGCCTCGTTCGTGGAATGTACTATGATCTTTGGGAGTGGAGTCCAAGTTCTTCACTTTGAGAGTGCTAAATCAAGCTTGTCTTCAAAAAGTATACAGGGTAGTGTTTATGTGAGGAAGAAGGGTCAGGATATTTTTAGAAGGTTGCTTGAATTGGATCTTGACTGGTGAATGAGGGATGAGCGATCTAAGGCAGAAGTGCAACAAAATTTGAAATTATTGCTTAGTTCCCTTAGGGGTAATATGGTCAAGTATTATGCATAAAAAAGGAGTGCAACAAAATTGGTGACCCATATATAGTCATATGACCATTTATGAGAAACACATTTTTAAATATGGACTCAATGAGAAAAACAAAAGACCCAAAGTCAAAGATTTATATTTGTTATGAATTTTACAATACTCGTAATTTAAGAATTGCTCCCAAGGGAAAAATGGTTCAGACTTCTAAACCCATATGATTAATATGTTTTACAGTGGTAAAATAGTGATGCATTAAAAGCTAAATCAAACAGGAATCCAACGCACCAATCAAAAACCAAAATTCGGATAATTTGATTTATTATGAATTTTAAAATATTTGTGCGTAGTTTAGGATTTGAATTTCAGGCAAAGGCAACCATTGCAATGTGACAGTTGGACAGTCCAATACGCCCCCCACATGTAGGACGGCCCATTAAGCATCTTAAAATGGAGGGTGGGTTCCATCTACACCGGAGGAGAGGGTTAGAGGGAGAAACAATATTACAAAAATCCTGAATAAATGCAAAAAAATAGAATCATACCTAATACTTTCCTCCAAGGAGTCTAAATGTCATACATGACATGCATTGTTGAGCTTAAAAAATAGCACCAAAGAGCTTCTGCTCAAGTCTTCATTGTCTCTGAGGCCAAAGCTTCTCCAGTAACAAAATCAAAGGATCAAAAGCCTACAAGAAGTGTGCTAAATGCCTAGCTTGGTAACATTTGCGCATGTATTGTAAATACTTTGTGAGCTTATTGTGTTTTCATCTAAAGTCAATAACCTAGAAGAAAGAATGGAAGAATGTATTTAAAATCGTGACACACCAGCTTTGATAGGAGTCATCAAAATATCAGAAACCAAGAGCTGAGCAAAGAAGAATCAATTCAACACCCCCCCTTCCTATTGGTTCATCCATCTGGTTCCTCTAGGGATCTAACATCTATCATCGTTTGTATAGGAAAATTTAAAATGTGATAAAGGCCCCTGGTTGTGAGACAAATTAGCTTTCTTTTGAGTGCAATGGCAAGGATGAATCTAGGAAAGGTTTTTTGAATAAAAGTGCCTCACTAGCATAGGGTATATCTTT